CACCCCAGTCCGTTTGACATTGGACATTGTTGTCAGGAACCTAATGGCCTTGCCTGAGTGGCAGAAGGAGCCAGGAGTCACGCAAGAAAGGACGAAGAAAGCTCTGCGTGACTATGCGGTCTATGATCACGCCGCCAATGGACGTTTCAAAGACATCAAGGTGCCAAAGGGGAAGGGCGGAAAGCAGAAACAGCAGGCAGCCATCGCGGCACGGAGAGCGGCGGGAATGCTTGAGGCGGCTGCGAACCAAGGTCTGCCGTCTCCTGCAAGCAAGGTAGCTCGCTGCCTGTCTTTGGGAGTCGGGACCAGCAGCGTGGCGAAAGAGCTTGGTCCTGGAGCAGCGTCGCTGGGAGTTGACGGAGTTCGCTCGAAGCAGTCGGTCAGGCGTTCTGGGGCGTCCGATGTAACCACTGGGGAAAAGCCTGTCGTCTTTGCAACTGACGACGAGGGCGGCCTGATTGGCGATGTACTAGAGGGCAGCGTGCAGGAGGGCAGCGCGCAGGAGGGTAGTGTGCAGAAAGCAGGTGGTCTTGTGCATAAGAAAGAAGGGTTGGGGAGAAGCGAGGGTCGGGGTCCTGCTCTTGAGGCCGTCGGGACAGCAAAGAAGGGGGTGAATGGGCCAGCGAAGAGTGCGGAGAAGGAGGTGGACATTCGCAGCCCCGTAGGTCTCCCGGCAAGGGCAGGGGGGTCCAAGCAAACCCTTGGGTTGCCCCCAAAACGTGCGCTCTCGCCCCGGGAAGAAGCTGAGCTGCGAGCAAGTGCGGAAGAGCAGGAAGTGAACGCGCTCTTGGATGATCTGATGGGTCCGCCGCTGAGGAAAGCAGGGAAGGTTGGGGGAGCTGCGCTGAAGAAGAAGTGTGGGCGCTGCCTTCAGAGCGGACACATCGCGGATGACTGCGAGGCTGATGCAGCAATGGTGAAGGCTGCGCAAGCGGTCAAAGCGGCGCAGGCGGCGCAGAAAGGAGAAGGAGCGCCAGTGAAGCCCATGCAGAAGAAGAAGAAGAAAGCCGCTGTGAAAGGAGAGAAGGGGGCAGCTGGGGCTGTTGGGCGTCCGGAGGAGCTTGCTCTGGTTGACTACGGGGATGGCAAGAAGTCCGCCAGGCTGAATGCAAAGAGAAGGACGGGATCGGATGGAGACGGGGACTCGGAAGAGGAAGCGCCCAAGAAGAAGACAAAAGCGCAAGCTGCGGTGGCCCATGCGAAAAGGTCCAACAAGCAGGTAAAGTTTGCGGAGAACGAGAAGCGGGTTAAGAACCCCAAGGGGAAAGGGTGAGTAATACTGGCTTCGCATACAGTTAGGGACCATCTTGCTGTTTTGCACCATTATGCTCTGAGTTCTTTGAGAGTGGCAGGATCCTGCTTCCTTCTGATGACTTCTGTTTCTAGCCATGTTCGTTCAGACCTGGTGCCAAGCTTTGCATGAAAGTTCTTTAGATCCGGATGAATCTAGATTTGCCTCTGCACTATATAGTTCTTCTTCAGTCTGGGATAAAATAATGATGGTCAAACAGCTTCTTTATTCCCCAGCAGAGAGTATGTTTCAAGTCAAGGGAGCAATTTTGAATCTGACGAATGAGAACCCGATACATTGAACTGAGGAACTTGCACCAGAATCGGCCCAGGACTGGTCTTTTTGGGTTGGGGTTTGTTGTGAGGGCTTGTCATATCCAGCCTGGCGGATGTCCTTCAATTATGATGCTGGCAGTTTGTGAGCCCTGTTTGTGCTTGTTGTGCTTTCGAATTAGGAATCATATGAGCAGCTTACGGATCGGGACTGGCTGGTTCGAGAAAGCCGGGGCAAAAGAAGGTTCATTTCCATGATCGAACTTCCTGCAGGAAGACGGCAGGGAGGACCTCAGGAGGCAAAGAGCAGGTGGAGTCTGAGGGTGAAGAATGAAGGTATGTTACAGCATCTAGGGCTAGAAAAAGCAGTCGGTTTCGCCGCATGCTTCGGCCTGTTGGCTTCACATGATTCCTGTTGCTGTTGCCGCATAATTGCTCATTCTTCGTTGCTTCATCAATTCACATAGAAGCATGTAGATGAATCTCGCATGCTTCAAACTTTTAGTCCGTCTTGAAGATCGAGTCGGGGATGGACATTTCCTCCAGGGTTTGGCGGGCTTCCGCCTTGGGCGGAGGGGTGTTGGGCGAGTCTTCGTCGTCGCTTGCCAGGGTGGCCTCCGGCACTTCCTCCACCCCCGCCGTGGTGAACATCCCGGCATACTCCTCCGGTAGCACCTTGACGTTTAACCTGGGGGGAGGTTCGATGTCGAATTCGAGGTCCTTTCCCTTGCGCCCACGCCGCACCTTCTTGCCCTGGCACGCCGCCTCTTCCGCCTCCTCCAGCTTGTCCAGCCTCTCGCTCAGCTCATCCCACACCAGCTGCGTCTCCTGTGCCTTTGCCGCCACGTCGTAGGCCTCCTGCAGCTTCCGGGCCTCCGCCGCGTCGTCTGCTG